TTATTTCATGGTAGTTTGAGGCGAATTTTCGATGATTTTATTCATTTATTGTGCTCGTCTAGTATTGAAAATATCAATGTTAGAAAATTTATAATTCATGAGACAAAGAAAAAATCTAGTGCGTATGTGTCACGCAAGTTTTTCTATAAAAAATAATATCGCACAGGTATATAACGTGCATCGTACTTTGCAATTAAGATCAAAATATATTTATTCTGTATTAGTTCAGCTCTTATTGTAGATACCATCAAAATTACTGCAAATGGATTCTAAATTGTGCCGTATAGAGGTCATTTGGTGCCAATGACATCATATTATGAATATGTAGCATTAAAAAAAACACTATTAGACTTATGTATGTGAGGTTTATCAAGTTTTAAATCTCACTCGTATTTCGTGCCACACAAATAAAGTTTCTTCTACGTATAATCTGAGGCGTTTTTAATATATTTTGTAAAACTTGTGTGTTTTGGTCATTTTTCAACATATATATGAAAAAGTAGTATTCAAGCATTTTTCGTGGGTTTTGGACGATTTTCATATGTGTGAGCCACATAAACAGTCGTAATCGTGAAAACTTTTTCTTTTTCTTTTCTCATACTGTACAGCAGAATGTATTACCTGTTTCGCTCGTTTTTTTCTTAAAATTGTACAAAAGTGTTGCGATTCGCTGATATATGTGTTACCGATCAATTTCGAATATACCTGGACTGTTCTCAAAATCGCCTAGATCAACTTCAGATGCATTGAATACAGTAATAAAGAATTCTTTTCCAATATTTCAGCTGATTAATTCGACTTTTAGGCTATAAGTTAACTTCAGTACGATGTTGACAATTTAAAGAAACCTCATTCTGTTAAGATTTGCCTCCAGAAGTTATGATTGTTTGTTGAACATCGAAAGTTTTCAAAATATTAAAACAAAAACCACTTAACTATGTTGAAATGCGTTAAAAAAGGAAAGTTCGAGAAAGATTTATGACGCGCGTAAGTCTTAGGTATGATACAAGGCAGTACGAGGCTCACTCGCGAATCTCTGCTCTACATTCATTAATTCCAGTTTCAATTTTCAACGAAATAAGAAAAGCAATTAACCTTTTGGTGAAACTAAACTTAATCTTGTTTTTGGTACTCATTCTTATTATAGTTTCTGGTATATGACGTTATATCAAAAACCAAAATATCCGAAATATAATTATATTTTAGGTATGAAGAAAAGATATCATTGTATATTCATGACAACAAAAAACCAAAATAAATACTTATTATCATTTGTTCTATTCTTATATAATTCAAAACATTTTTTCGATAACACTCATTTTGAAAATGATTCAATAAAAAGAAGCCATCATGTTCTGCAATACTGTTTTTGTGACCCTTGTTATTGTTACAGCTGGTTTAGATGATAAATCAACAGAATTACTTAAAAACGAACGAGAACGTTGTTGTTTTCCAAAACAATATAGTTCAAAAGTTTCATTTATTAATGAAATATTTTCCTCGATATAATAATTTTATGGATGAAATAGTCATCGTATAATTTAACATATGATTCAAATCGTGGTATGATTGGAATGAAAGGGGTCTCAATAACATTACTTGGTCAACAAAAATTAAATATGTGGACGATCGAAAATATAAATGATGAAATAATGTATACTATTGATCAAGATTTAAAAACATGTCTTAAATCTAAGATCATTTCTAAAACAGCTGTTTGTATACCCGGTAAGATTATCCTTGATCTTGTTTTTTTGTTTCCGTGCAAACAAAAATTAATGATTTTATATTGTTAATTGATTATAGATATTGCAGAATACTTTAGTTCATCTAGATATGGATATGGTGATAAGAAAATTGTTGCTGATACATGGATTATCAATAATAATAGAAATCTCAATTATGTAACAGTTAGTCGTGATGGTCTTTGTGTTCCATTAACTGGACACATTTTTGTCCACACACCAGGTTAACATATACAGTTTTTTAGATGTAAAATCGATATAATAACATTTGTTTTGTTCTTGTTTAGGTGGAGTAACTACAATGATAACAACAGATTTTGTACCAGAAATCAATGATTCAAGTGTATTCGATATACCAGAGGAATGTAAGAAGCTAAATTAAGTCAAAATTTTGCTCTAGAAGTTGAGAATACATTTTTAGTTTTTTTTAGTTTAATTTTCATTATTTGATTTGATTTAATGATTAAATAAACTCAAATATGATAGAATAAAATAATAAATAATTATATTTATTTGAACATCATGACATGTTGACTGTAAATTGTTATTTGAATTTCGCATGGTGAATTTAGCGACATGCGCTTGTAATGAAACTCTTTCGAGTGAACCAAGTAATGTTTTATTAGACAATTGTATTATTAACATTAATCACGTTAAATGAGAATTCAGTGAATTATAGAAACTACATGAGAAAAGTTTTTTAGTTGATGAATACATGTTTTTAGGAATTGTTATATAATATGTGATTATTTTAAAATCATTATTCATCAGCACAATAATATAAATAAAGACTTTTTTGACTTGAGTGGGTGTGATTTGAATCTAGTCCAATTAAGAAAATAAATATTTAATGTGAACAGGGTGGGCATGTAACTATTACTAAAGATCATGCATAGGTCGATCAACTACCGACACCAGTATACACGGCGACAACCATA